TTTTTTTTTTGATTTTGCTCTTTTTTTTATTTGGTGTTAAGTTTTGTGAGGTCTTACTAATGTGTAGTATGTAAAACAGTTAATTGATGCAATTTTCGGTCCCTAACTTATAGCTACTGTATTTATACCCATAGTTGTCGGCTTATTCTTTTACACTTGTTCAGTTTAAAAAGGTGGTAGTGATGGTCAAAATTTTTACATCTTAATTAATGGTTGCAGTGCCGTTGAAAGAATTAGTTTCATAACAGTTTTTCTAAATCTCTCTATTTAAGGTGCTGTCTCGGAACCATGCGATCTTGTGGTATGAAGAAGGTTGCTTTTACTTGAAAGATACTAAAAGTAGTAATGGGACTTTCGTTAACAATGAACGTTTGTCGAAAAGCGCTGAAGAGAGTGCTCCAAAGCAAATCTTTTCTGGTGACATTCTTCAATTTGGAGTCAACATTGTTGAAAACACTAATAAAGGTACTTTCTAAAATTTTGGTTCAAGCTTGAATTTATTTATGCGGCACTTTTCTGGATGAGGATTATGCAATTTATGACTGAATATGGGCACTAGCTTTAAAGCTGTTTGGCTGAATGTAAATCTTTAATCTTGGAATGTTGTGCTGGAAGAGTTAAGCAAAGCTTCCGAGGGAGTAATTTTTTTTGCGTATTAGCCTAAATGAAATTCCACGAAAATTTTTGCAATCAATTTTTGGTACCAGAAGTCTCCCATATTTAGTCATTCTTGTGAAGGTTTTGCGGTTCGCAGTTTTTCAGTCATTATTTCGAGTGGAAAGGAGGAGTCTGCTTCCCTCTCCTTTCCCAAAATCCCTTTACTTATCTTCATTGTGGATACTTAGTACCGCTGAGTAGGGTTTACTGGAGTTTCATTGTGAGAATGCTTTCTTTTCAGAAAAGTGTCGTCTGTTCCTTGTTTTTTTTCAAGTCTTCTACCTTAGTATAAAAGCTTTATGGGTATCGGTAAAAAAGTCGTACCTAAAAGTGAACGGAGAATTTTCAGTCACTCATGGCTGTATCGTTGCCATCGTTCGGCTTTTTGGAAGTTCAGGTGAGGAAGTCTGTGGACCAGAACGAAGTATATCTGATTCGGGAGAGCTGACTGTTGCACTGTCCTCTTTTATCAAGTCGCAACATTTGTTCCAATTGCAGCAATATGTGCGTGAAGCCACATATCGCGAACGTTTACTTGATCAGAAACTTGAGAAACTAGAAGGTTTTCTAGCTGCTACCGAACAGGCAACTGAGAACAGTTGGCAGGTCTTATCTTTAATTTAGTTTCCTATGAAACTTCAATTGTAACTTTGCTCCGCCACTTTAACTGCTACTTCTTATTCGTTTTCAAATTATTTGACATGTTGCACATCTATGGTGGCGTTTTTTAGGCTCTGATCAATGAGGATCGTTTGCTGTCTAGAATAGAAATGTTGGAGGGGCAGTTGGCTTTATATTCTAAAAATGTTTTTACTGATAAGGTGAAACAGGAAATGAATCAGCTTCTGGAAGATAGGAACAAGTTTGAAACTATTGCTAAAGAATCGTTGAGGAGGGCGCAAGAGGAAAAGTTTGAGGCAGTGCAGCGGCTCTCGGATGTTGAAAGAAGTTTAACCAATACTGGTATGTTTTCACAACGTATTCAAACTTTGTTGTCTTGTAGCATTTAACTTTAAATCACTGTTTCCCAACATATCTTTCCGCAGTAGTAATTTACTCTAGAATTGATGCGCATTTCTTTTAGCATTTAACCCAGCATTCTAACATGTTTTTGTATAGTTGTGATACCTTTCCTTTCATTCTTCAGAGATGTGCTGTGAATTTTTTTAAACTATATATTTACTTTCAGAAGAAGAGTGTAGCGCACTTCGTGAAAGAATCGAGGATTTCGAAAGGGAGCTTTCAGAAGCATTAGCGATGAATAATAGCTTAAATGATATGGTTGCTCAGTTACAGAGACAAGTTCCTGCAGGGAGTGCCAGCCATGTTATCGCAACTGAGGTTTGCTAATACTCTTCTGATTTATTTCGCGTTTTCAATTTTACAAAAGATCACATAGTGACCTTTAAAGATAATCTTATGATATAATAATAGAAAATTGTTTTAACAGATCATGGAAGCTTAAAATTTCATACTGGAACTAATTAAGTTTTCGGGTTCATTGTCTTTGATGAGGAGGAACGGTGTTTGCTAGTACTAAGACTTGGACCTGTAAAACCGACTTGTTGTGGTTTGGTTGTACTTCTTCGTTTTATAGAGTGAGAGCTGTGATGTTGAAAACGGTCCGGTTCTGAAAATGCGAAAAAACGATCATAAAAATTTTGGTTGGTCTTCCTTTTTTTGTACCGCTTATGCTACGCCATTTCGGAAATAGAAAAGGAGTTATTTTTGGGAAGAAATTAAGTGATTTCAAGGGCGTTCAACTTTCAGATGATGATGTTGTCTCTCAACATGAAAGGAAGGAGTTGGATGAATTGAGAAACAAAGTGAAGGAACTTATTGAAGAGAACAATCGTTTAACAGGTCTTGTCAATTTTAACACTGATTCCAATAACTTAAACGACATAATTTTGTAACCTCTTTAGTTTTTTTTTTCACAGAGTGAAAAATATCTCCAGTATTGCTTCATTTTCCTGTTTCATTATTCTTTCAGGCACCATCGAAAAGTTGCAGAAACAGCCTACGGCCACTGAAAAGGAGGTACTTCCCGTCAGGCACCTGTTTTACGACGACTCAGTAATAGTAAGTGATTGGAATTCGCGGATTAGAACTGAAGAGTCATAATTTTTGAAAAGTTCCAAAAAATATTCATCTGACAAGTATTACTTGAATTTAATGATTGAGAGTCATTAGAAACCTCGTGGAATGAGGCCCTAGCATCATAAGTTAAGGTTATGAAGGGCAAATGACAAAGCTTGCAGAAATAAATCCATAGAAATTTCTATTTTTAATTTAACATTGCTGCTGTAGATGTATTAGAATGCAGAATTTATATCCTTTGACATTCCCAATTAGCTGAACACACGTTTTTATTTCCAGCTACTATAGATGTAACTTTTGAGCCTTAGCTGTTGAGGTTGAGGAGTCGAAGTACCAATCCATTACACATGATTTCTGACGTGAAATAATGTTGTAGTCTTGCTTTTTCTTTCTTTTTTTCTGTACAATGCGCTTTGCGCTGTTTTGGTGTTGTGCAACCCAACTTTTGCATGAGGTGAGTCAATTACAAAGGTCCTGACAAGCCACTGCTTCACGTCATCTTCGCCTAGAATTTACTTGTCAATTCATTTCAATATGTTTTCAGGTTATACTGTGCAGCTTACCATTACTTGCTGTTTGTTTTCTTATATATACAGCACTGGCCCACTACATTTTCTCCAAACGGAAAACCAGCTGAAGCAGTCTCTGAGCATCGATTGTGCTGTTTCAGAGGTACACTGGGTTTACTTCTGCGATGTATTAAAACATTTTATTTGTTGTTGTTGTTCCTTAAATTTTTTTGAGTGGAATTGAGTGCTATTCTTCATAGTTTTATTGCGAGCGCTCGTTCTGTTAGATCCTAATTAAGTGGTTTATGGAAACATGGTTGCAGTTCTTAAAATTATTGGATGTTTCTTCTTTCCGTATTCCCCTCTTAAAATGAGTGAAAAGTTGTGCCGTTTTTTCTCCTACGGAGCTAGTTGCTTCACTGAAGAGTATTGAGAAGTGGAACCGTGTAGTTGGCCTGGTCCGATGCTTCTTCCTTCTATACCCTTTGAGACTTGAATGTATACGTGGGTCTCTCAAGGCTCATCTCGTAA